TGTTAATATTTTGAACTGCTATTTGTTTGGTGTTTGAGGGGAATTTATATGCCAGGGCCAGACCAAGCACAATGGTAAATAAAGGTAATATAGACATACCTTTATTTTATAAAGTGATGAAAGGGAAGGAGAAAAGAAGAACTATCTGCTTCAGGCTTGTAGGTAGCTTGTTTCTCAGGCAGATCAGTATTAGGGAAGACTACACATAAAAGGTGAGGATCTGGGGGCGCCTCTGCCTTTGGCTCAGGTCATGATCTCAGGGTCCTGGGATTGAGCCCTGCATGGGGCTCTCAGCTCAGTGGGGAGCCTGCTTCCCCCCACCTCTCTCTATCTGCCTCTCTGCCTACTTGTGATCTCCCTCTCTGTCAAATAAATAAATAAAATCTTAAAAAAAAAAAAGGTAAGGCTCTGGAGATTGAATCCTTTAAAATTATTATGCCAGTGCCCTTTTGGAAGTCTTTGGGTATTTTTTTGGACGTAATTAATTAATTAATTAATTTGACTGAGAGAAATAGAGAGAGAGAGAGCACACACGCAGGGGGAGAGGCAGGCAGAGGGAAAAGCAGGCTCCCCGTTGAGCAGAGAGCCGGATGCAGGGCTCAATCCCAGGACCCTGGGATCATGACCTGAGCTGAAGGCAGATATGTTTAACCAGCTGAACCACCCAGGTGCCCCTCTTTGGGTGTTTTTCTAAGTGCAGGGTAATCCAGTTTGATGACTACTGACCCAGACTCTAGGGAAGTCTTCTTAGAGGAAATGGCATTTAAACTGGGAAATGAAGGATGAGTAGGAGCAAGTTAAATACAAGGGGCAGATGATCTGTCAGATATTCACAGAAATTCCTCCCAGCAGATAAGTTAGAAGGGAGGTGACAATTGAAGTTAATATGCCCCCAGGTCTTTGTATTGTTTATTAGGAGGGTAAAGACATTGATTAACTTCAGAATTCCTTCCATTAAATAAGTGTTACAAATTGTAGGGTGATCTCGAAGAGATGGTAACAGAGTGAATAACTTCCCAAGTGGCCGGTGGGGGTGAAGTAGAGAAGGAGAAGGTAATTTTTTTTTTTTTCAATCAGTCTCAAAGAAAACAATAATGGAGAAACCTAGAAAATGTATCAAAATCTTAACACCTAAAATGGTAGGAATGAATCTCAAAAATTAGAAATCACAAGGTCAATAGACCAAAGGTAAAAAGAACCTACTACGTCTGAATAAACAAACATTAAACAAACAAAAAATGAGCAAACATTGAGCTACATCTTATTTACAAGAGACATTTATAAAGACACAGAAGGTTAATAGAAAAAGAACAGAAAAAGATAAACAAAGGCAAATACCGCCTAAATGAAAGCTGGCATGGCTAAATCAATACCACGCAAAATAGACTTTAAGACAAAAACTTTTTTTGGACTTGAAGAAGATTATTACAAATTGATTAAATAAGCAAACTCATCAAAAGAAGCTTAAACTTTTTTTTTTTTTAAAGATTTTATTTATTTATTTGACAGAGAGAGATCACAAGTAGATGGAGAGGCAGGCAGAGAGAGAGAGAGGAGGAAGCAGGCTCCCCACTGAGCAGAGAGCCTGATGCGGGACTCGATCCCAGGACCTTGAGATCATGACCTGAGCCGAAGGCAGCGGCTTAACCCACTGAGCCACCCAGGCACCCAAGAAGCTTAAACTTTTATATACTTTATAAAATATAGTCAAAATATAGAAAGAAAAAATTGGCAGATTTACAAGAAGCTGACAAAAATCACTTTCTGTACCTGATACTTGGAAAAAATTAACAACTTGTTGTCATGGATAGATGTTTACAAAAAGACCAGGGGCGCCTGGGTGGCTCAGTGGGTTAGGGCCTCTGCCTTCAGCTTGGGTCGTGGTCTCAGGATCCTAGGATCAAGACCCGAGTCGGGCTCTCTGCTGGGTGGGGAGCCTGCTTCCCCCTGCTCCCCCCCCCCCCTGCCTGCCTACTTGTGATCTCTGTCAAATAAATAAATAAAATCTTAAAAAAAAAAAAAAAGACCAGACACTAGGCAATGAGGCAAGTGTCAAGAAATTTGAAGTGATCAGTATTATACAGACCATATTCTCTGACCACAATGCAATTACTACAAGTTATAAATGAATAGAAAGAAGACAACAATATACTTCACATATCTGGAAATAAAAATGATCTTTGGCCCACAGATTACAAAATAAATCTCAATAGGAATTAGAAAAATTTAAAACTGAATTATAATGAAATAAGCCATAAAAACTTAAGGGATACAACTAAAGCAATTGTTAAAGGAAAATTATATAGTTTAAGTACTTTTTTTTTTTTTTAAGGAAATGAGAGGTTAAAAATAAAGACAGTAGAGACGCCTGGGTGGCTCAGTCAGTTAAGCATTGGACTCAATTTGAGCTCAGGTCCTGATCTCAGGGTCATGAGTTCAGGCCCTGAGTACACGTGATGCCTTCTTAAATAAATAAATAAATAAAGACAGTAAATATTCAATGCAAGAGGCTATGATAAATAATAAAACAAACTCAAAGAAATTTTTTAAAAGGAAAGGATACAGATATAGAAAAGATAAATGAACTAGAGAACAATTAGAATAAGAAAAACCAGTAAAGAAGATTAATCAGATCTGTCAAGAAAATGTGAGAAGATATAAATAAACAAATACAGAATAAAGGAGGAAATGGTCACAGACACAGATTTTTACTTTATTATTCCTTTTTCTATCTCTTTTTAAAAGTTTTTATTTTAATGCCAGTTAGCATAGGGTTATATTAGTTTCAGGTGTACAATATAGTGACTCAACACTTCCATACATCACCCTGCCCTCATCACAAGTTCACTCCTTAATTCCTGTCACCTATTTAACCCATACCCCCTCACCTCCCCTCTGGTAACCATCAGTTCTTTATAGTTAAGAGTCTGTTTCTTGGTTTGACTCTCTTTTTTCCCTCACTTGTTTGCTTTGTTTCTTAAATTCCACATAGGAGTGAAATTATATGGTATTTGTTTTTTTCTGACTGACTTATTTCACTTAATACTCTAGCTCCAGCCATGTCATTGCAAATGGCAAGATTTCATTCATTTTTTTTATGTGATATCTCATTTTTAAAATTAACATATAATGTACTATCTGCCCAAGGGGTACAGGTCTGTGGATCATCAGTCTTAAAACACAATTCACAGCACTCACCATAGCACATACCCTCCCCGATGTTCATAACTCAGCCACCCTGTCCCTACCCCCACCCCAGCAACCCTCAGTTTGTTTCCTGAGATTAAGAGTCTCTTATGGTTTGTCTCACTCCGGATCCCACCTTGTTTCATTTTTTCCCTCCCTACCCCCCAAAACCCCCCACCCCCCCTTTCAAATGGCTCAATAATATCCACATCTTATTTATCCATTCATCAATCAATGGACACTGAGGCTACTTTCACATCTCAGCTATTTAAATAATGCTGCTATAAACATAAGGGTACATGTATCTCTTCAAATTAGGGCTTTTGTATTCTTTAGGTAAATAACCCAGTAGTGCTTTAACTTTTGAGGAACCTCCATATTGTTTTCCAGAGTGGCTGCACCAGTTTACATTCCCACCAGCAGTGCAAGATCATTTCTTTTTCTTCACATCCTTGGCAACACCTGTTGTTTCTTGTGTTGTTGATTTAACCATTCTGACAGGTGTGAAGTGATAACCTCATTATAGTTTTGATTTACATTTTCCTGATATAAGGGATGATGGGCTGTTTTTCATGTGTCTGTTGGCCAGATGTATGTCTTTGGAGAAATGATAGACACAAAAAGATTTTAAAATAATATGCTTGTGGGGAGCTGGGGTGGCTCAGTGGGTTAAAGCATCTGCCTTTGGCTCAGGTCACGATCCCAGGGTCCTGGGATGGAGCCCTGCATGGGGCTCTCTGCTCAGCAGGGAGCCTGCCCCTCCCCAACTACTTGTGATCTCTGCCTGTCAAATAAATAAATAAAATCTTAAAAAAAATAAAATAATATGCTTGTATTATTAAGACTACACATTAATAAATTAGAAAACCTAGGGAAATGGATAAATTGATAGAAAAAATAAAATGACAAAATTCATTCAAGGGATTGAAAACTTGACTAGATCTGCATGAAAGAAATTATAAGGAAATCAAAGATTTTGTCTTCCTCCAAATACCTATATCTAGATGACTTTACAGCTCAGTTCCTATTCTTTCAAGGAACTGTTAATTATTGTGTAATAGAAAATGCTACAGAATATAGAAAAATAGTGAGAGTTGTGCAACTCATTTTATGCAGCTAGAATAATTTTCTAAATTAAGGTTTTCTTTTTCTTTTGAAATAATTTCAAATTTGCAGAAAAGGTACAAGAGTAGAAAGAACACGTCACTGCCAATAATTTGAAAGTATATTGCTGACATCATACCCAACACCCCCAATACTTTAGTGTTTATTTACTACAAGCAAGGACTTTTCCCTGCATAACACCAATACATTTATTAAGATCAGGAAATTAACATCGTAAGTTACTAGTATCTAACCGGAGATCCAATTCAAGTCTCTCCAAAACAGAAAAACAGAATTAAATGCAATAATATATCTAAGTATGTAATTAACAGGTGCTCAATAACTGACCATTACTTTAACTAATTTGTAAATTCATTAGGGGTTCCTGGGTTTCTATCTTGGGCGGCCACACGGTGGGTAAAGTCTGTCAGGTTGTACTTGTGGAGCTTGGAGCTCACATTGGGCTTTGCCCTCCGGGGGCCCCACGCAGCCTCCGCCCTCGCCCCAGGGCAGGAGGAACTGTGCCCACCCGTGAACCTCCAGGGCAGGAGGAACTGTGCCCACCCGTGAACCTCCCACTCCCCGCAAAGCCGCCAAGCTCTGCGCATGCACCCTGGGGCATAAAAGGCGGGGGTGGGGCTGGGGGTGGGGCTGGGGGTGGGGGAAGCGAGGAACCAAGTCTTAAGTTTGCTGCCATCTTGAGCGCTGATACTCTTCTAAAGGCTTCGGGAAGAACGGCCTGGCCAGCGCTTCTCGGTAAGTCTGTATTTTCTGTCAGCCTGCTCTGGGCTGTATTGTTTTCTGTCCCCCACTTCCCCCCACCTTTGTCCCTTGAACCGTCGTGGCTTCGGTCCCAGAGGAGAGGGCACCAGCCCTCTGCCCCTTGTGGGGGCATCCGCGCAGCCCGGCTGTCCTCTGTGCCCGCTAACGGCGTCGTGGGTACCAGTAGTCCTGCCCCCAGTAGCATCGTTTTCAGGGAGCATATGGCTCAGGGTCGCCTCTGGGAAGGCTGACACTATGGCCAGGTGTTTTACTTGTGGGGCTGGAAAGACACAGACGACGCAAGCGCTCTTCTGAGGGAACTTATTTTTGTTGAGTCACGTAACTGTTGTGATACTTTAATACACCTTCAGAAGTAACTTTTTGCCTTTCGGAATTCTGAAGAAATGGAACCGCTTTGCGGCGTGTCCCCTAAACTGGAAGGCCAGGTTAACCCCTCGTCTCCGCTTCCACGCGGCCCCTTCTTGACACCGTCAGCCGTGTGCATACAGCCACATGTTTATGGACGCGTGTGGGGTGTCCTGTTCGTTTTCTCCACGCCTTACTCTGACCCCTTCCCTGCCCCCCAACGCTACGGGGTTCCTGAGACCTATTCATCAGAGCCAATGAAAGTAGATTCATTGTTGTTTTTTTGTTTTTTTGTTTTTTGTTTTGTTTTGCTTGTTTTTGTGATTGAAAGAATAAAAGAGGTCTTCTGTAACCTGCTCCACCATTAGTATATATTTAGGTAGTGTGCTAGGTGTCTTCTATAGCTTTACTGAACTATAATTGAGGAAAAACGAATTGCAGGTAAAGTGTGCAATTCGATGACATTTGAAACCTACACACAGAAATCACCGTGATCAAGATAAAAAACCTACCCCATCACACCCAAAAGTTTGTTGTGGTCCCTCCCCAGGCAACACTGATCCACACTCTGTTCGCTGTAGATTAGTGTGCATTTTCTAGAATTTCATATAAATGAAACACAGTATACATTCTCCTAGCTTTCACTCAGTAATTATTTTGGGATTCATCTGTGTTGTGTGTGTGTCAATATGTTGTCCCTTTTATTGTGTGTGTGTGTGTGTGTGTGTGTGCGCGCGCGCGTAGAAAGCATCTTTTTAACAATTTACATTAGCCAACATATAGCACATCATTAGTTTCAGATGTAGAGTACTTTGTCCCTTTTTTATTGCTGATCACTTTCTATTTATGACCTACAATCATTATGTGGTTCCAACTCAGTAAGAGACAAACTGTTGTGACTCAGATTTGAGTATTTTGTAGTCCTTTTCTCAAGAGTGAGTGAAGCAAGCTTGACATTTCAAGGAAAAATGTCAGTATTTATTGATGACAAAATTCACACTTTAAAGCCAAAATTATAAAGTCGGAAAACTTGTGCCTATCACTGCAGGCTTTAGAGCTTCCCAATACTTAAGTTGTCTGAGGTTGGTTGTTATATTTGATTTTTGAGATGTTTGGGTAATGCAGCAGGTCGGTTTAAGGAAGTTCTGCATAATTCTGAACCAATATTTTCAAGCAGATCAATGTAGTACCTTTAAAATCGTTCAGATTTAAAAATTCCATTCAAAGCTCAAGATGAAAGGATTTTAAGGTCCGAATACAAAAAATTCACTTATAGGGCTTAGTATTTCCATATTGTAAATAATGTCTAAGAAACCACCTCTCATTGAGTGTTTATAACTATCAGACAGTATCTTCAGTTCTATGAAAATGCTATTAAAATGCTACTCTTCTCTAATTATATGTGTGTGGCCAGATTTTATTCAGATACTTTACCCCCAAAAAGCCTATCAACACATTGTAGGGGCAGCTCAGAGAATCCAGCTATTTTCTGTTAAGCAGACATTGGGATTTGCAAAAATTGTAAAACCATGTTCCTCTTCTCACTATTTTTTTGGTTTTGAAAAATATCTTTAATGAAAACATTTAATGAATTATGATTTTAAAATATTTTAAAAATGTTTTTCTAATATGGTAAACATTGACAGAAGCTACATAAACAGTCTTTGGTTGTCTGTCTTGGCTTGGGCTGCTCTGACAAAATGCCTTACACTGAATGGCCCATAATCAACAAATTTATTTTGCAAAATCCTGCGTGGTGGGAAGTCCAAGATCAACGTGTTAGCAGATCTGGTGAGAGCCTACTTCCTGGCTTATAGATCATAGATGTCTGTGTTCTCCTGGTATCCCTGTATGGCAGAGTAGAAGTTCTCTTGTGATTCCTGTGTGGGTACTAATCTCATTCCCGAGGGCTCCATCCTCATGCTCTCATTTAATCCTAAAGAACCTCCCAAATCCCCACCTTCTAATACCAGCACATTGGGAGATAGTTTCAATGTATGACTTTGGAGGGGCACAAAAATAGCCCATAACAAGATCCTTATTAATTTTTTCAGAGCACAAGGGTCCTAAGACCAGATATTTAAGAACCACTGGTTTAATAGAAATTTTTTTGTGTGTTGGAGCAAGAGAGGTTGGGGAGGGGTCCAGAGACTACCAAATTAGGAGAAGGTTGCAGTTTAAATTGAATGGTCCGGGAATGCTTCAGCTAAACAGAAACCTCTGACAAAAACTTGAAGGCTGTAAGGAAGCAAACTGTACCTGAAGGGCTATAGGCCCCAAACCCAGATCCAAAACCCAGATGTTCAAGGAATAGAAAGCACTGTAGCTGTGGCATAATGAGGATAGTAGGAATAAGGTAACAGAAAAAATGTGTGTGTGGTGGTGGTAGGAGTCCTAGTGGTAATGGTTAGATCCTGTAGGACTTCCTAAACCACTGCAATGGCTTTAGTTTTCACTCTGAGTAATTAGGAGCTACTGATGTTTTTGTAGTGTATGCTGTGTCTTCTATTTTAAAAAGGTCCTTAGGGTTAGAATAGTCATGGAATGGTGGGGTTAAGGATAGAAGCAGGAAGACAAGAGTCTCATGTTATAGAAGACAGAGGAAGGTGGTTTGGGTCAGGGATGTATCAGCAGAGATGGAAGAAAGCATCAGAATTTTTATGTGCTGAGGATAAACCCAGTAGGATTTCCTGGTGGATTGTGTGTAGGATACAAAAAAGTGGAGTCAGGTATGATTGAAGATACTTGGCTTGAACAAATCTTGTATATGGTAGATCATACTGATTTTAATTTTGTTCTAGCTTCATTTCTTTTCCCTACATATATATTTTTAAATTTCTTTTCAGCGTAACAGAATTCATTGTTTATGCATCACACCCAGTGCTCCATGCAATACGTGCCCTCCATGATACCCACCACCTGGCTCCCCCATCCTCCCACCTGCCCCCCGCCCCTTCAAAACCCTCAGATTGTTTTTCAGAGTCCATAGTCTCTCCCTATATTCTTATACACTTTTTTGTAGCCTCTTCCCATCTCTTGAAAGCTTTCTTTAGCAAAAATATTTCCTCTTTAAATCATAAACGATGAATTCTGGAATACTGAAAAGAAATTAAAATAAAAATTAAATATCTTTTAGATAGTTAAAAAAATTAGTTCTTTTTTCTGCCTGGTATTTTTGTTTTCAGCAAAACAGTGTTTCTTAGCCTTCACCTATTGACATTGTGGTCTGGATGAAAGAACAAAAGTTGTTGTTGGGACGGGCAGGCTTTTCTGTACACTCTGTGATATTTAGCAACATCTCTGGCCTCTACCCGCTGCATGCCAGTAGCTACTCTTGCCACTCACCCTGGCCCAGTTATGACAAGCAAATATATCTGTAGATATTGCCAGATGTTCCCTATGGGACAAGAAGGCCCTTGGATGAGGAATGTTAAATGGAAGCTCTGGGTTTAAAATATGCAGATTAAAAAATAAACCATTGTATTTTGTTGAATTGGTGTCCTAAAAGACCTGAATCTAGAAATCAACTGAATAGAGAAGAAAAGAGAAGGCAAACCAGGGCACCCACAGATGCTTAATTTGATCAGTCTTTTGGAACATGGTAACCTTGCCAGGGTATCTACTAGTCAGCTTTATAAGAACTGTGTTAAATTTTGGAAAAAGGGAGAATTCATAAATGGATTCTATTCTGTAAGGTGCTTTCCCCATTTTTGTTCATAGGTCCATTTTGGATTTGTATTTTCCACTTTTAGTGCTTGTCCATAATTATGTGGTTTAGTTGAAAGAGCAGTGTGAAACAGTGGGAGTAAGTACATAGAGAACTGGACTGAATAAAACCTAAATTCAAGCTCTTTAATCTTTTATCTTCAGTTCTTTGATCTGAAAAGTAACAGTCTTATTGTGGACATCAGTTAAACTAATGTACTGAAAGCCTCTTTAAAAACAGTAGTGTTGGGGTGCCTGTGGGTGGCTCAGTGGGTTAAAGCCTCTGCCTTCAGCTCAGGTCATGATCCCCGGGTCCTGGGATCGAGCCCCGCATCGAGCCCCGCATCGGGCTCTGTGCTCAGCAGGGAGGCTGCTTCCTCCTCTCTCTCTCTCTCTGCCTGCCTCTCTGCCTACTTGTGATCTCTGTTAGTCAAATAAATAAATAAAAAATCTTAAAGAAAAAAAAACAGTAGTGTTATAAGGAGCTGTTCATATAAGGAAGGACATTTACACTTCTATGAGAGAACTTAAAACTTTAAAATTTAAAGTCACATATATGGATCAACTACATTTCTATTGTATCCCACTGGTCTAGACGTACTAGATGTGAACTCATGGACAGTTGCCAAAAAGGTAAGAGAGACCTATGTTCTATGTATATTCTATAGAATCAGGGAATTTTAGTGTGGGAAGGGCTTTCTGTATCTATTCTTAGAGTGGCCATAGTTAAATGCTAACCTTAGGAAAGCTGTGATGCTGTGAATTTTTATTTAAATTTAATTCAGAAGTTTGAAATTTTGATTTGAATTTAATCTTAAAAGTCTTTTTTAACATTCAAGTAGGATAAATTTAAAAGAAGAGATAAGTACTAATTATTGTCCTCAGATTTATTGATTATTAAGTTGTGGTTTTATCTTTATTTG